GAAGAGGGGGGGGGGTATTTGCGCCAAGGAGCCGGAATTTGGAGTAAAAAGGGAAAGATTTGCAAGCGCAGCATATTCTAAGCACCTGGGATTTAATCCATAGCCCCAGTGAAAAAACAGAATACAGAGAATCCTGTAACACGCTAAGGTTGTTAATATTGGTTTTATCAGTAGAGTTGTTGGAGGCAGTAATAAACAGGGCTGGGGAGAAAACTCGTATTTCTACTGTGAGTTTGGTTTAAAAAATCGAGGAACCAGCACAAGCCTCGCAAAATAAATAGGCAAATTAGGGCGCGTATATACTCCCAGCCCCAACTCATCTCCCCCACATACTGACGAACTACCATCAACAAATGGATATTTATAAGTAAAATATGCTGATGATACGGTTGTTAGTTATCCTCTCAAAAGTCAGGCACATCTTCAGGTTCTGAAAGATGGGTTGCACCACGTCTCAGCATGAGCGTTAGCCAATGTTTTTCCACCGAATAACTAAAAGTCATTCCAGGGCGTTTTCCGGTTGCGACCTTCTCCAAGTCCTGAATCCTTAGACAACCTGCCTAATGAGGTATCTTCTTCTAAGTACATTGGCGTTATTCTGACATCTAACCTTTCATTTACTCTTCATATAGAAACCCTCGTCATTAAAATTCGTAAACTCGTACATTATATCCGTCGGTTACTTTCTTAACACACACGCCAAGCCGTAATCTGGCGATTAATGGATACCTGCATTCTCTCCTCCCCCATTCTCTACTGTTGTAAATTTATGTTTCCAGCCTTGCTTAAAAAATACTTGTTGATTTTTAAAAGTATACTTCAAATGCTCTCTTCAGCTGCTGGTGTTTCTTGCGCTTTTTTGCCGATATTATAATACAGCGACACTTTAAAACGGTAAAACAATTCTCCGACAATATTCATCATGTATTTGCCCATCCACTCCACTCTGAATTAATGACTGGAAAGTCTTTCCGTACTATGCGCCGAAGCTTCTGTCATAGGTCCTACCGTATATTGACATATCAGCATCCTTTGTTGCCATTCCTAGCACGCTACTCCGCGTGTAAACAAACGGAAATCCAGAAGCTGTGACTGAACCTGTCTCGATAACAGATGTGTATGTTATGCAAACCTCTCTATTTCTTGAGCAGCTTGTTAATTTATCCCCCGGTCCCAGTGAATGAAATAATTTTTTGCTGAAAATGTTGGTGGCCGCCTTCAAAATAAACCATATATCTCGCTTATTGTCTCTCTCTCCAAACAGGGCCCGCCAACAGCCGCACAGCGGTTAATATTATAGACAGAACATAGCCGAGTGAGACAAGGGAAAGTGAAATGGCCGTTCGTGGCTTAGTAGCCCTCATCAGCCAGCCAGTCCCAACCTCAGGCGTTGCAACACCTGAGGATCGAACCCGAAACCTTTTGGTTAGTAGTACAACTCTCAAACGATTGGGCCACGGGCCCAATGACGGACAATAAGCCAGAAATGGGCATTCTAGTCTCCCCTGTGTTGGCTCAAGCTAGAAATTGTTGATTATGGACGTTTCAAGTGAGCAGCCTAGCTTTCAACCACCCAGGATCTCTCCGACAACACTGTGAACCCAGCGCAGTTTAACCGTCGCAAATATCGATTGACTGGCCACCGTAAAAGACCTTGACAATAACGAAACATATCTTAATTTCCTCCCGATCAGAGCATTCCTGAATCTTCTCTGCTCTGCAAATTAGTCAAATATTCTGC